ATTTCCTGGTTTTCGTTCTACCTTATAAATAAATTATTAACTCGGGTCATCGGCCAAAAAGAAAAAAAAAAGAGAAAAAAAAATAGAAATAATAATAATAAGAAAAATATAGGCGTCAGTCAAAAGGGTAAATAGCAGGCGCTTGAATTTCTCGTCCCTCGACCCACAAACAACACATTAGTCATTAATTAATTTAGATGCAGAATAATCACTATTATTTCAAGAATCGTCGATTCAACTACTCGAAATAACAATAACAATGTGAATGACTAGGACAGCGACAGCAATCTGCAAACACGCGAATCATAATAATCGAAATCGGCCACTGCCTATTATACTTCCTTTCACCGAATAATAATAACATCTTCCTCCCGCGCGTCGACGATTTCCGGTCACCACGGCACACGCACGCCTCTCGACTTTCAAGGTCATGCCCATGTGCCATCGCACGTGTGAACAAAAATGGCAAAATATTGCGAGGGATACTCACTGGGCACCGTTATTATCCCCCACGTGCCTTTCTCTCCTCCTATTTAATTTTTATTCCTTTTTTTTTAATCTTACATTACTAAGGTCGGGAATTTTGCATCTAACACGCGCGACTGGATTCTAATTTGAAATTACATTAGACGTTCAAAGGGGAGCGTTGAAAAACACTGTATTCTATTTTCACATCGTCAGAGCGCTCAACATATTATTGATATAAGGTTTGCACGAGCTGCGATAGAGATAGGTAGGTAGTGAATAGGTAGGTGGGCCCCAACCATCGTAACGTTCTTCTCACTCGTTTCGGCCGATCCGCCACAAACTCCGTTGAAAAGTCTCATATATAGCTTAGGCACATAATACGGAAAAAGCACGCTCGCCGGCACAAATACATAGACGGGCTCACATCTAATAAAAGTGAAAAATGAAAAATCCAGTCGTCGGCCTTTTACTCGACACCATAAATATAAAGGCAACGCTGCGCCTATCCTCATCAATAAGAACACGCAAGGACTCAAAAGCCCAGGCGCAGGTAGATGACGTAAAGGTATGCGTACATGCACATGCACGCATGCGTATCCGCGTGCATACGCGGCCTTTGCACCCCGCTACAGCCTTAAGCCCTAAAGAAGAAAGGGAGAGGGGGGGGGGAGACAGGTTTTGTATTTACGGGTGGTAAAAGGGGCAGGTGCCGGAATCTGCATCGATTTTGCCTCCGTTCTAAAAGTCCGTTTTTCTCTTCCTCTCATTCTCTTTCTCCACCTTCTCCGACCATTGCTTTTGTGTCGACCAGGGACGACTGGCCCTGATTTTTATTATAATTGATTCCGCGCCATTATCTCTCTCTCTCTCTCTCTCTCTCTCTCTCTCTCCCTCTCTCTCTCTCCCTCTCTCTCTCTCTCTCTCTCTCTCTCTCTCTCTCTCTCTCTCTCTTGCTCTCTCCTATCTCATTAATTTTTTTTCTCCCTGCTCGTGAGACTAAAAACGATTGTTTGTTACTCTACCGCGTTATAGAACTAATAATAATAATAATAATGAAAATAATAATAATAATAATAATAATAATAATAATAATAATAATAATAATATTAATAGTAAGGATGAAAAAAACAGAATCGAGCAATGTGATTTTTTTTTTATAAAGGAGCGGTTAGGCTTTTGTAGCGCCAAGATCTTCTTCCTTTATGCAACGGGACACTAAAGTTTCTTTATGGCGAGTAAGAGTATCTATTACAGTGTATCGATTTTTCTTAAGACAGCTTAAAGGATTAAACATCTTTCGTTTTTCTTCTCCCCTCGTGGCATTTAATTCAATTCGGCGAGATTAGTGGCAATATACTATGGAATCTCGTTTAATAATTTCACTTCTATCCCTTACGTAGACGGTAAAAAAATTTCATTTTACATTTAATCTTCTGTAAAGCCTTCGGGAGACCTGAATTAACGTCCCTTCGTAAATAGGTACCAAAACTAACATCCAACTTGGTAAAATATTTCTCACGTTGAATTTAAAAACGGGGCTCTGCTATTTTAGGCAAAGATAACGTATTTAAAAATAAACGTTCGTGAATCGGTAAATACAGCCTTTTACAATTAGCCATTAAAAGCACGAGTATCCATCCACCGAGTTTACTTAGTTTTATTCAAACGAATTTGACAATTTTATGATAAACGTAATTTAGCCTTCGATATTTTTTTCATTGTGTTTCTGAGCCGTCGATTATTTTGGATAACGGAAATGCGGTTGCTAAACTCGCAGTTTCAAGCAACTTTTCAAAAGTGACTGTAACATATAGAGAGAGACGTCAATAAGGAGTGGATTGTCTGTACAGGAAAAATCGAAAGCTCAGAGATGGGAAGAGAGTCGTCTTGAAATTTCTCGCACGTCATTCGAGCTTTGGAATCGTAACGAGCTGATTCGAGAGAACGTCGACAAAGCGAAATTGAAAGGAGTTGGCTCATCCTGTCTGAAAGTGAGACAAACAGATTGAGAGAGTGATAGAGAGAAAGAGAGAGAGAGAGAGAGAGAGAGAGAGAGAGCGAGAAAGAGTTAGGGGTACGTGTTTGTGCGCGTGAGGGAGCTCGAGAAATAGAGAGGGCGTGCAACAATGACTATACAGAATATGCGTGGTGTATGAAGTGTTTTTCTCGTTGCGCGCACAATAACAGATTGCGTCTTACCAACTGCGAAACCGAAAGCGGGAGGGTCGCCATGGCTACCGTAAAAAAGGGTTCAAGCCGACACAATGTCCTGAGAATTGCTTCTTGTCGGAGAAGATAATTGACTCGCCCCTTCTCGCACTTCGTCTTTGATTTTAGACGAAGCCCCAGCACGACAATTTCATCATACGCGAATAATTTTTTGAATAAATGCCTCCGCCTGACAATTCACGAACGAGCCTGTTATCGTGCATCTAAAGCTGTACACGCCGATCGATGAATCCAATCTACGTGAAAAAACATTGGTCGGCATTATATCGAATATTCATTCACGTGGTGTATTCTTTACATTTGTAAAATATAAATAGCGATACATTGCTCATGAGAATCTAAAGGCTAAAAGCAAATAGCGGGGCCTCGGCATTTTCTTATATAAAACTCGTGACTCTATTACGAGAGGCAAAAACATCGCCTATGCCGAATGCTGCATAGATAATTCGCGGCGTCTCGTATTACCGAGTATCACCCGTTCACGAATTAGCAATTATAATTTCCATAAGAGAGAATTAATTCAATGGCCTCAAGAGCCGCGCTCGATAAGATTTATCACACGGCTTTAATACCACGGCTATAGAGACTCGAGACTCGATCGAAGGTCCCCGCGTCGTGCTTTTAATTTTCATAACTACAAACTACGGAAATCACACGTATGTTATCAAGCCACTCAAGCAGCAGCTATTTTCTTTTTTCATTTCTGCCGGATTCGTTGACAATTTACAGCCAATGGCCCAGGATACTTCCGTTCGATCAAATTTTTTGTCATGCCCTCACTAACCCTCGTTCGCCGCCCAAAGGCCAACACTCGAGACGAATATAAATCGTGTCAATTCATTGCTCCAATATGAGCTGTGCTTACATGTTCTCGGACAGATAAAAAAAAAAAAAAAAAAAAAAAAAAAAAAAAAAAAAAGTGATAGGACGGAGAGGGGAGAAGAAGAAGAAGAATATAACAATAAAGTAGCTTTGCGAGACGAGTTTCGACTGAAGCAACGCGACTACATAACGACCATATCGTTCTCTCGATTCTTCAACGTTATTATTCAAATAAACATACTTTACGTGCTTTACCGAGAATTCCGACGTATCCCCAAGCGCTTATTTGACTAAAAAACTACACGCGGGTTTAAACAAAACCTGTCGCTCAGGTGTATACACGAGCGCACCTAACAGTGGTGGTAAGACGACGGTCGCACCAAAAGGAAAAGAAAGAAAAATATTCTATCGTGGAGTCAGCAAATATTAGCGAAGGGAGCATTCATTACCCCTAAAAGCGGTAATAACCTAAACAAGAACAGCGTATACGCGGACAAGCTCAAAGACTATAAGGGGCAGGGGGGAGAGGCTGGGGCAAGGGAACGTAAATGTAAAGAAAGATTATTATTCTTTCTCCTTCTCTTCCTAGCGCCCTCTCACTCCCCTCTGCCCCATGAGACATGAAAGGATTCGTCGTGGCAGGCAGCACGAGAGAAGGTAAAAATAAGAGGCTCGGGTGAGGCGAGAGAGGCGGGAGGGAGCCGGAGAGGCATGCATAATGGGCACGACCGGTGAGGTTAAAGCTGAAAGAAGGTGGAAGGAGAATCGGAGCTCTTCGATGAGCGAGTAACAAAAAGAGAGGAAAAAACGGGGCGGTGATGATGGCGGTAGTGGTTCGGGTGATGTGTGTGCGTGTGTGCGCGCGCGCGCGCGCGCGAGTGGGAAGAAGGGTTGGTGGGTTGGTTGGTCGGAGGGCGGACGGCGGTGGAGGTTGGAGGGTGGTGGATTGGGAGGGAGGTGGAGACAGGGGGGGGGGCGAGCAGAGGACGTAGAGAGAACCTTTTTACACTGGCGCACTTTAGGAGTGGGCTGTCTTGTTTCAGCGGGGGTTATGTAAGTTTGGCCTGCGCCGAGGAACGGCCGATTTGACTGATAATAAATAGCACGGAATTCCGATCGATCTATTGCGGATAATCTGAATTTTCTGGTTTGTGGGGCCTCGGGTGGACGGACGGACGGCCTGTTCACGACAGCTTCCAACTAACTCCGCTATTTCAGCCCCAAACAAATTTCTTACAAATGAGACATCATCGATCGGGCCATATCAGCTAATCGAAGGATATCGACGTCGTTTATGCAAACGAAACGGTTCATCGGGTAAGTGGAGTGTACAAAGTCTGGAGGTGAAAGGGTCGGTCGATACTGGCAGAGAGGCCAAGGGGGAGGCTGGTTCTCCTCCTCGGCAAACCACACGTACTGAACTGTATGACACAAAGGGCGCGCGCGGACACCTCGGTATACCAAGAGTATATGAGACTCACCTTTTGCTGGGCTAGCCTGAGAGACTCCTCGAAGTGCTTGTGTACCGCCTGCTCGGCCGCTCTCTGTTTCTCGATCCTCTCGCGTTCGAGCTTCGCCTCGCGCTCCCGTGACTCCAGCTCCCGCACTTCCGCCTCCCGACGCTCTCTGCAATATCACAAACAAAGGAAAACATTTAGAAGGGGCTCGCTGATCCATGCTCCGCCAATGCTGTCTCTGTCCAATTCGTTAAAATAATCCGGGAGCCGACGTCTTTAAGCTCCAGCGACACTTCGCGCATACGCGACCTCCCGAGGTGCGTGCAACGAAGAGTTCGTGTGGGACGTACGGGTGAGGTAGCAGTGGTCGTAACGATGATTGGCGGGGGGGGGGTGAAGAGAGAAGCTGAAGAGCGTAGGCGAGCCAAACGCATGGAAAATGGAGGAGGAGGAGGAACGCGCTCTCTCTCTCTCTCTCTCTCTCTCTCACCGACGCCGAGGTTTTTCCGGTGGGTCGCGCGTCCGAGGATCGAGAGAGGGCGGGAGGAAGGGAGAGGGAGACAGATAAACATTCATTAACGCTTGCGCAAGTTATTTATACAGTTACGTGGGCCCGCTCGCGTTTATCGCCATAAAAGCGCGGCATATTGCGCATGCGCGTCGCTTCTTGCCGTTGCGAGCGAGTGGCGCTTTTATCGCGCGCGCAATAAGGCAACAACGCGCCATGGGAACGCCGTGGCACGAGAAAGTAATTAAGAGACCGAGAGCGTGCATTGTTACCCGTGTACGCAACCTCGCTGGATACACGCTAATACGTTATTCATTCTTATTAACATTTTCACGTATTGTCGATGTTTTTGCTTTTCTTTCCTTCATCCTTTCTTCTCCACGCCCCCCCCCCCTCATTCTCTCTCTCTCTCTCTCTCTCTCCCTCCTAATATTTCCGTATGAAAGTAAATAGGGGGCAAATTGTTAAATTGCTTTGGGCGACTAGATATTCAAGGTGAAATTATAAAAGTGTAACGCTCGCGGTTGTTGGGTCTGCGCGAAGAAAGTTAAAATAACTATTCTGATGTGGATTTAATAATACAAGAGGCGATAAACTTTGAGATAAAGTCATAAAAATGTCTTGGCCGAGCGGGATTTTTCATTGCAATTGACGACAAACACCTCTGTGCAGCAAAACAGTGACACACTTTACTTGAAATTGTTTGCTACATTTGCGATAAAAATAGAGACAACGGCAATTAGGAAGCTTGAAAAATGCACATCGGCGGATTCATTTTTAGACGCGAGGAATAATAGAATTTCATCGATAATCTCGTCGTCGTACGCAGAACATTAACAAATAACAAAAAATCAAGAAGGCGATAATTTCGATAATCGTCGCGCCTATAAAAAAACGCTCGAGCTCTATTAAAGAGATATTAAGCAGTGTGAAGCTGAATTTCTATCTGAAGAAAAAAAGCTGCGTTGACAAAATGGAGTATCGAAGGTGTATAGGTGGCACGGGAATTCGAGAAAACCGGAATTTAACTGCCACGAGAAAGCGTTCGATTATCGCTAGTTGATTCACCGAGGACGCATTATTAACAGCAGATTATAATCAATGATTTAATAGCGATTAATATTATTTTTATTTCAAGCCCACCTATTAATTTCTTATTACTTCGTTTTCAATGAAATGCCCCTCCCAACCCCAAACCTCTCCCCAGCCACAACGGCTCGCACACACTTTCATTCCGACAGTTGAATATCTCATAATTATCATTTGAAAGAAACTACCACGCCAATGGCGCTCTCCTTACGTAAAACATTAATAATAAGAATAAAGATTAATAAGAATTGGGTCAGTTTTGTTATCGCGACGGGCAAATATCAAAATCATGCAAGCAAATAATGCGTCGAATTTTAATTAAGCCCAGTTTCTTTAAACTCATTCGAATGGCGACCAATTGTAGTCCAAACGATTTATGCAATTAAACAAAATAAAAAATAAAACACGAAAAAGAAAAAAAAGAATAGAAACAAAAAACAAAAAAACATAAATTTTTGATAAAATTAAACATCTTCGTAGTAGTGGAAGGCCCCATAAACGTAGTAGTAACGATTATACGCTCGAAGCATAAATTTATGAAAGGCTCAGGCCCACCGAATTAAATCAATCAAAAGATTCTCCATTCCTCTCCAAGGATTTCACTTGAAATTATCATCACGCACACTTTGCTTATTTCCGCGATCCCAGGCAAAGGCGTTCGGATTTAAGATTTTTGTTCGTCTTCGCTTCTATGCTCGCGCGTTGAATTAAATATTACGAATGCGCCGATTTGTCTGCTATTCCACAATTTTCATTTTAAAGCACCCGTGGGCGTATTCGAAAGTCGAATTTCGCACTGCAACTGGCGAAAAAAAAAAGAAAAAAAAAAAGAAAGAAAGAAAAAAGGAAAAAAAGTTGACTCTCGTTCCGAGCGCTCGTAAGCCATGACGCATCGTCAACAGGTTATTAATACATTTTCAGACAGTTAACCGATTACACGTCCTGACCATTAACGATGACATCGAGCCATTTATTGTAACAGTAAATATATCGGGCATTTTATGAATTTCAATAAGTGCGGCATGGAGGCCACATCCGTAGAGGCACGTTGTCGCTTCCTCTCATCATCGACACCACTACGTTCGCTCGCTCGTTCACTAACAAGACGATTAGTGCATTGTGCAGAAATCGTAAGCGAGATGAGCCGACACAAATTCACTCGGGCCCCGTACGGATGAGTAGCGACTATCGGGGAGACGGGCTGACACGGGGTGAGATGGCCTGATGGCGGGATGATACTCGTGGGGGATTTGGAGAGGGAGGGAGAAGGAGAAAAGGGATACGGTGCGCAAAGCCTTTTTTGGGCTCGCGGACTCCTCCCGTCGGTCCGGTTTCACCGCAGCGGCAGGACCGCATTTTTCAGAAAGTCGCTCGTCGTATATACCTGTCCCGCGAACGCTTCTCCTGCTCGTAGATACCAAGACAGGTCGTATTGCCCCTCCCTCTCTCACCGTCTCCCGTCAGCCCACATCCCACATCCCACGGCGATGATCGTGTGCCGTTTCTCCCGGTTATACACATGTGGAATCAGTTATTAGCTGGACCGATCAAGTTTTTGTTTGTCTAACTCTTTTTCTTCTTCGTTAAACTTTCATGAACCGTTTTGGCGTTTTTATAATCTTGACGATATCGAAGCCTCTCGCTCGCGATGGAGATCGCCGAAACGATGACATTGATGAGAGTCGACAGGTGAGATGAAAATAGAAGAATGGAAGGAGATGAAAGGAAGAAAAGGAGGACGCGACGACTAGATACTAAGTTAGATGGATGCATTAGCCTTTCTATTTGAATCGAGACTAGGGGGACGACGGTGCCCCCTCCTCCATCCTGCCCGCAGACAGCAGGGCTTCCTGCCATTAATTATCTACCCTGGCCAATCTCAATCTCTAGACAAAGATCTAACTGCACAATGCGTACTTTCTCTCTCTCTCTCTCTCTCTCTCTCTCTCTCTCTCTCTCTCTCTCTGTGTGTGTGTTGCTATAGATGGTGCTCCTTATGGAAAATCAGTAGGCAGCGCAAAATTGGCGATTCGATTGTCGATACTAGGGATCTCTTTGTTACTCATCTACGCATCTATTATCCTGCCGAAGAGAAGAGAGTAATTTATAGGCCAGCCGAGCCTCCTATGCGCGCTGAGAAAATTTATATTTTTAAATATACTGTCTAGGGCATCGTCGATCTTGCCAAAACTGTTATAAATCCAATTAATTGTAAGATCACATTTGAAATATCAGCTTACTCGGTTATTGTCTTAGTTGAGCCAAGCGTGAGCCAAGCGTGAGCCAAGCCATCTCCCCCCTCCGCCGTCCCTCATTAACATGCAAATAAGTTCGAATGAAAATTATTCTTTCTTCTCGTGTTTTTTCTTCTATTCAAATTGGTTTTCACGCGCGTCAGTTTTAATTATATCAGCAAGGTCTCGGTAGCAGCTTTATTGGCACTGTAAAACACGCTACTAGCCGCACAATAATAATTACGTCAGTGTAACTTGGAATTCATGTACTCGTTATCAATTGACATTTCTCAGCGGTGTGTAACGCACCAACAAACTACGAAATCCCAGCGCAAAAACTTAAAAGGTCCAGCAATAAAAATTTTTGCATTTTCATTTTGGGATTTCGTTGACATTCGAGATCCCTGAGCTCCCACCTAGATAAGCACATATATACGCTCGTGTACACGTCTCATGTACGACTAAACTTTCCCCTTCTTTGTCCGTTATTGTGTCCCGACGGCTTTTCAAATCTGATCTCACGCGGAGTTACGCCTATGTTAGATACGCATCGGAGATCGTGTCTGTCACCCCCTTCCCCTCCCGCCGCACACCCCGCACGCCGCTCCTCTTGATTCTTCATTCTCGTGATCAGCGAGTTGACGAGAAACGGGTCTGTGGCTTTTTCAACGGATGAATGATTAACAGCGTGTAATGCGTCGTTTTATTTTTCAGCCCAATATCTTCAATCGTTCGTAATTAATTATTCCGAGCGAGAGATTACGCAACCAGCACTTTTCATGTTTTTCTTCAGGTACATTCATCTTCACGACAGTTTCAGTATGCGCCTCAAAAGGAACTCGTTATCTCCTTAATTAGCATTAATTATTCATTGAGCTAGCACGATGCAAGAACCTCGGAATTCGCATTTGAATTACTCAGTTTTCATAAAATAATGTTTGCATGGCCGTGCACAGGTGGCAAGGCCTCCTTCCATTCCCAACTCTTATCCCCGACGCCCCGTATAATTAAAACGTAACTGGCTTTATATACGAACGGGCGCGACCATTATTAGGACCTACGGATAAGCTCGATTAGAAATTTTTCCTTTCTGCGCGCGCAAATAGAAAAGGTCGGAATAGAATCAGTTTTTGCCATTGTGAATTCACTCGCGCGAATTAGCATCGTTGTGTCGGGCGCATGCGCTCGGCTCCCATTGTTTGCCAAGTCGGCGATGATGATTCAACCGAAAGTTCATTCACGATTTGCACGCCGACGAAACTTTCGCGCACGTGCATCACCGGGAGTCTGATTTATCGATCCTCAAGGTCGACCCAGTCTTCCTTCCTCCGAAGATGA